ACGTTTATGTGTCAGAGCTGATTACGACTTTACGTTTTGCAGCTAAGGCCATGTTGATTTGATTATATGGATGACATCCTCCGGGAGCCCCAAAACTGATGCGAATAAAAAAAAGTTTTGCAAAAAAAAAAGTTCTTTTCATTATGAAATCTACGTGGTCATGAGGGTTGAGCAAATGGCACAGAATATGGTTTGGCGAATAATCTAGTCTTCAAGTTCATTTCTTTACAATTTCGTCTTTTTTCGCTTGATTTTGGCATTCTACGACATTGGTATAGTTTTTATCTATTTTTTTTTTGTAACTTATGGTATATTTTTGCTCATTTTGCAACTGTTTTGAACGATTTACAGTATGGTTGAAACCTTTTTTTTTTTTTGAAACGGCCGAAAATTCATGCGCGCGCGGATGTCATCCATATAATCAAATCAACATGGCCTAATGTCCTATTACGAATTACGCTGATTTTTGGGGAGGCTGTCTACGGATTACGAAGACTAAAAGGGCCTGATTACGCTTTACGAAAAAGGGCATGCAGACCCCCATACAACTTACAAGTGGACAGAATATTAACGCAACCTTAGCGTTAAAAAATATATTTTGTACAATTCTATTTTCAAGCACGTTTGGTAAGAATTGGCAGAGCTTGAAGAATGTTGAGATACATTCCCATAGAAAGGAGACCAGTTCCAGGCTTCCCCTACTTTAGGGGACAAATCGTCCATCATTGGGCGCTCTTTGGGCAGGTTTATCGCGGACAAACAGACGGACTGCACGGCACCACTCAGGCCTGTTACCGGGATGCCAGACTGTTACCGACGGCCTACGTACACAGACGAGCTCCTCTGCTCCAGGGCCAACAATGCCCCAAGAAAATTTTGACCACGGCACCGTGGCTTTTCAAGTTTGTTACAGCTTGGATCCCGGACAATTTTCGGAGCCAATACACAGGCCAGCCCCGTATTAGACACCGAGGGTATAACTTTGGGGAGTCTGGCAAAATCGGCCGGGGACATGTTGGCCTTTGACTGAGCCGAGGAGCTAGCTAGCCTGTATACTGTCCCTAGCAACAGACTGGGGGCCAAGCTAGGTTTGTTGACGACTGATCTTCGTTGATGATAGTCTTGAGAAGGGCAACAAATTGTATTATTTGTACTTCCATGACCAGTTTTGGAGAAAAAAAAAGTGAAAACCTGTGTTTTCGGTGTAGCTATGGTCTCGGTAGCCTTGATACTAGACACACGGACGGAATCCTGTGGCCATCCCAGCATTGAAAGTATCCAGCATTATTTTTTGTACTGCCCTAAATATACACAATATCGTGCCTCCCTTTTTAGCAATTTAGCTAAGTTGGTAGGATTTGACATAAACCTCAATGATCTCTTTGATGATGTTTTAGTACGTTTATTCCTTAGAGGTTCTGTATCACTATCATATCCAAATAACTTAAAATTTTTACTTTATGTTCAATCATTTATAAAGGAAACTAAAAGATTTGAGTAATTCTTTCCTATCAATTTTGTAAGTTTTGCCTGGAGTACTTTACACATTGTAACCTTATTTATTCTATTCTGTTATTTTTAAGCTTTGCATGTCTGTTTTTGCATTTGGTTCTGTATTTTTGTAATGTTAGATGGCGACATGAACATAAGCTCCGGCTTGAGTGTGTCGTCATCCTGTCCACTTTGCTCCTAAATGTTTTAATAAAGAAAAAAAAATCGCACCAAAAAATGATTGCGTTAGAAACGTCTATGCAGGTTAGACATCCAGGTTGAGCATAGCGCATCAGTTAAAGGATGGGCGGACTTGGTATACAAAATAAATCAGGCAACAGCCGACCACAGCCGACCTTGCTCCTGACCTACTCCAAATACTATGGACATGTTCAGTGGGAGATCTGCAGTGTCCAGTAGGCCATGTTCAGCTATGAGCCTACTCTCCAAGCAGAGGTTTGGGTTTAGGGTAATTTTAGCGTGTTTTAAGGCTTTTTTATCGGGGTTTCTCTTTTGCACTGAATTTTTTTTTGGGTGGGGGAAAAAAATCCAGTGTAAAAGAGAAATCCCGATAAAAAAAAGCCTAAAACACGATAAAAGTAACCCCAAACCCAAACCTCTGCTTGGAGAGTAGGGGCGCCTATTTGCAACTTACACGATTTTCTAATCAAACGTGAGCCTATGTCTGACAGGATGAGGTTTAAGATAGGAATACGTCGAGCTATACATGTATATGGAGACATTTCGTACTTTTGTCGGGGTACGTCGAAAACTGTAATCCTAACCTTAATTGCACACTTTTATGGTTAACCAAATTCCCCTGTCACGTTGTTATTTTTACAGATACATTCCAGATCCCGCTCAATGTGTTATGATATTCTTTTTCACTCTTTCAAGGCCACACCGACTTAATTTTATGGATGGATGTCTCTGAAGACCCCCAAACTAGTGCGCGCGGGCGAATAAAAAACAAAAACAAATTCCGGCCAAAAATAAAAATGTTACTAAACCACAGGAATACAAAGCTGGTATTAAGTTTATTCCCAGAAGTACATAGCGACGTACACGACAAGCCGGCACATGCTGGCTTTTTGCGGAATTTATGAATTGGTGCCATCCTCCAGGGTTACCACCGGCTCCGTATTGTCGCTAACTACCATGGAGTACCTAGTCGAGCCAGCTCAGACGTGATCTTTTTCTTTTTTTTCTGGAGAACAGGCGAAAATCAATGCGCGCGTGGATGTCATCCATAAAATTAAGACGGTGTGGCCCAATCTGTGATTCGTAGAAGCAGACATTTTATTGCGACGGTCATATATTTTGTCGAGATCATGGCGCCAGCTGACGACTCTGATATCGCTCAACATTCGAAACACATGGGCTATCAACCGCCGGCTAAATGGTTTGGTCAGGTGTAAAATCTGGGGCTCATTTCAGGTCATTTACCCTATATTGACAATGGTGCCTTTCGAAATTTTGTTGTTTTTTTTTTGCTAAAAAGAAGAAAAGAAAGAATGCAAATAGAAGAAGGAGAGAAAAATGCAAATATATGAGATATTGTACATGTATATAGGGTAATACAAACGTAAACAAGAAGGCAAAAAGACCAAAAGAAACTAGAAAGGCCAATATTTGCTTTGGAGCAAATATAGCGATGGGTTCACCACATTTTACGACCTGGCAGGGAAAGAATGAGAAACACAAGGGAAAACAATGATTTACATTGATATAACTATAATACGAAGTAACATACAACTAAAACAACAGTTGGATAGCTATTCCCTACTTTATTGGTTAGGATTTTTAATTGCATAATGCAAACTGTTGATTTTCCAAAAAAAAAAAAAAACGTTCATGACCCCGCATTCCAATGCGGAGCAGGAAAGCTTGAAATACCTACCAAAACACTTGAATAAAGACATACTGTCAGTATGGAATGGCTCTGTGCAGGTGTTAATCAAGTTAAATCCCAACAGCCAATCAGCAAGAAATGCTCTGTGCAGGTGGAAATGCTCTGTGCAGGTGTTAATCAAGTTAAATCCCAACAGCCAATCAGCAAGAAGTATAGAGGAAAGCTGCATGTCTATTGGTTGATGCCCTGCATTCCATTGTGATGACTCATGCCCAGACGTGGTAAACACGGCACACTAACACAGTAATACATTTGCTATAACACAGCCCAAAAACTCAAATAAAACCATTCTAAAAGCCTGTATCACAAAAAAACGCCTAGGGGTATTTGCCCACTGTATCTCCATACCAAATTTCAGGACCTTAGGCCCTAAAATGAAGAAGCTGAATCCATTTTAAAAATGGCAGGAGAAGAAGAAGGAGAAACATCAGAAAAAGCAATATGGGTTCACCACCACTTCGTGGTGTGGTGAACCCATAATTATTAGGTCTGAGAAAGAAGAAGGAAAGAAACGATTTCACCCTTACCCCTAACTACCTTCACTTGGGTGTCTAAAAATAAACCCTTTTAAAAGATTAAGAACACCTGCGCGAAAGGCATGAGGTAACTTTAAGGCCCTTTTCCTAGCCTCTATCAGGCTTCGAGAGGCGGCTGGAAAGAGTAGAAATCGGCCAAATAGAGAGATAACATGCCAGGGGAGTTTGTCTGCTGGGAGAGAACGTATTGCCGCACCCGAAGCTGCAAACTGTTCTCTCCAGCAGAAAAGACTCCCCTGGCATGTTATCTCTCTATTTGGCCGATTTCTACTCTTTCCAGCCGCCTCTCGAAGCCTGGTAGAGGCTACCCTTTTCCCACTAGGATGAAATTGTCCAGATCGAGCCCAATATGGATTCGCTTTGAGTGAAGCCGGATAAAAGTGAATCAATTCGGCTCGAGCCGGTCAATTTAATCCTATTGGGAAAATGATCGTAGGTACTTTTAAATTACTTGTTAGTCTAAATTTTCAATAAAATTACCCATGGCGGTTTTTTTTAATGTCAATGTGAAATCGGTCAAATAGAACATAAACGCTCTTTATTTCTCTAAAGCATTTGATTTTCTTGCCACCCTTGAATTTGCCTTGGATGCCTATAAAACAGAAAATGGATTTTTAAATGTTAAAACGCTACATTACAATCCTACTTTTGTGGGGAAGGACAGCTTTACATATGACGAGGTATCATTACTTTGATATTTTGTCCAAAGCCTTTTTTACTTAGTGGTCGCCACGTAACACGGCCCTTAGGCCACTTCAAGGTGAACGGTGCTACCACCTGAATGGTATGACCACTCACCTGGGTTACGGGTTACCGAGTAGAACTGTAACAGCAACTCTTCTCCCTGAGTCAGAAACATCATGATTGAGACCAGCCCAATTTCTCACAAGTAGTGAGGACTAACTGACCCAATAGGAGAGGCAGGGGTTACGAGGCTGGTCGGGAAAATTCCCTACCCCATTTTAGACCATAATGGTTGTCAGGTCGTTGTTGTTGAAATGAAACCTTCCCGTCTGTTAACCTACTTTCCACGTTTCTGACCCAATTTCCGTTCTCCGCAGGTCTGGAGTGAGCCCGCCGGTCCGGAGCGCCGACAGCTCCCGCGGGGAGGCGTCATGATCACTGCCGTGTGGTTCCCGACACGTCACGGGATCGGTCTGGTACGTAGACGGGGCGACCCAGCTGACGTGCCGGGGCGGGGAGCCAGGCGGCCCGGCATAGCGACCAGACCGTCCCCCCGGACATCGACACGGCACCGACCATGGCCAGTCCACCCGCCAGTGTAAATAGTCATCAGTAACTGTAACCGCGAAAATATTATTTTTGTACGTGGATAGTCCGGCTGCCCATAGCACCACGCTGTCAAGCCAAATTAGCCTCGTACCAGACTTCGGGAAGCGGCTGGGAAAGGTAGAAATTTGCCAAATAGATTATATAGAACTTATAGTATTTTATAAGTTCAGAACTTCTAGTATGTACTCCATAGCGGACCAACTCCCCTGACATGTCTTATGTCTATTTTATAGCAAATTTCTTCTCTTCCCAGCCACTTCCCGAAGCCTGATAGAGGCTATGAGGTCATCCCCACCTGCGCTCAGGGTTAGGTATTTCCACCGAAGTGTCAGAAACAGAAAACTGTTTTGGTCTTTCTCCGCGGACCCGGCTAGAGTTACTCTCCAACAAAGCTTTTCCACAGGCAATTAATCATCCTACAACACGACCCAGAACAGAGGATGTGTTTTTGGAAACGTTCCACCTAATTATAGCGTATTTATTTCTATTTATTTGTGTATATAACAAACGTTATGTGTGGAGGGGGCTATATATATACAGCCGCATGCAGGGTGGGATGAGTTTTCGCAGTGGTGAAACTGTTGTCGACTGTGATGTTGTAATAGCCAGGCTACCAGGCACCGCGGATCGCTGGAAAAATAGTAGAAATTGGCCGAAATAAAGGGATAGTATACCAGAGAAGATCCAGGGCCACGGGTCGCAAATTGGAGTTTCTATGGCCCTGGATCTTCTCTGGTATACTATCCCTTTATTTCGGCCAATTTCTACTATTTTTCCAGCGATCCGCGGTGCCTGGTAGAGGCTAGTGTTGTAAGTAAGATGGGGGACCAAATAAACGTAATTGGTACCAGTATATTTATTCTGTGTTTTCAGTGCCCACGGAGTCCTTTCTTGTGTGATCAAAGAAGCAAACCCTCTGTTTATTTATTTGATTACATGTTGACAAGTGCTTGATGCATATTGTGCAGACATTTTTTTTCAACATTCCTTGCGAGGTTAGACAGAGGCCTGGGTTTCAGTAAAGAAGTGTGAATGAACCCCCCCCCCCCCATCCCTCTCCTTTTTTCCGAGTTTGTCTGGAAAGCGCCATCTGTTTTAGGTTTACGTATCTATTACGGGTCGGGATGGATAGGTGTACACGTTTCAGGTGTGGACACGACCGCAGATAAGCGAAAGTCGGGCCGTGCCCCTCCCCTCAACTTTCACTCATCTCCCGTGGTCCCCCCCTCCCAGGTCTACAGTCCGTGTGCTTTGTGACGTCCGCACACCATTCTGTGCAAACTGTTGGCCCCAATGGGGAGGGCCTAGCCATTTTAGGAGCTGGCCCCGGGCCAAGGTCTTCTGGTGACTCCCCAACACTCTTGCGTCTGTGCCCACATGTACACATGTCCCCTTGCCCAGATTTATTTCTGAACCGCGACTGACACAGCCGGGCAAAATACCGCGCGCCCACGGAGCCTGGGCCGCATACTTCAAGCGCGTCCTGCCGCCGGACCCAACTAGTACTCTCCCCGCTGCCGAGGAGGCCTAACGGCAACAAAAAAAAACCTCCGCGTGGTGCTGTCGTCAGTTCGCTCCGGCAGTTTACTCAAGGAAAGTTTGCAGTGGTTGTCGCCTGCGGCGTTGGATTTCCTTGAAGGCGGTTCTCTCCGTTATGAGGCGGATTCCTTCTACACAAACCTGGGATATTCCGTAAGGCAGGGGGATGCGCGGCTAAAGGGACTTCACGATCATGCAGGTAAGAAAACCACCCTCATCTTCCGTAACGTCCACTACAAAACCCCCGCCACTCAGGCGACATTTGGGATTATCTGGGGGATGAGAGTAGATGGTGAAAAGGCGCAAATGACCACATCCTGGGGTATTGTGACAAACAACCCCAGTCCCTGTGCACATTGACACAGGAAAATGTGCCTTGCAGTAGTCGGGCGGCGTTACGGTTTAGAGAGCAGTGAAACAGATTCGTAAAGACCTGCAAACTGGGCCATTTGGCCAAATCGTTAGGTAGCGTTACTGAGGACGTATTTCCTAACACCTAAGTCAAGCGGTGACGGGGTAGTACATCCAGCCATCCGCACGATTTAAGTCGGACCGCTGGCTCATCTTCCCGATTTACCTTTCTACCGAGGCAGCTCCAGTTTCGCTAGGCCAAATATTAATCTTTACTGTTGACTGAGACAACAAGAATATCATTAATCACTCCCCCTATCACCCCTGGGATTCCCGGCGCATCTTTACGCTTTATAGAAGCTCGTGAGGAAAGAGAGAAGGCCCGTGGTTTGTGGAAGGTGTAGCCTGGTATCCAGTCTGATCGTGGTCGGGGCTGCAAGAGCTCTGTCCCGCCCGCCTCACATAGGTTTCCCGGTGTGTGTATAATTTTCACGAGAGATTGATTAGCCAAATCCCCAAGCATACTGTCTCTTATTAATAGCGTAACACTCCTACCGGGACGGTCTGTTGCACTGGGCGGGGGAAGCTATTAGAGCCCCCGAAGACACAACCTGCCTGAACACCCCAACACCCCCACTAGTCACGTAAGTCTGGGTACCAGGCTATGGAAGGTGTGGCACGCATACCGCAGGGAAAGGTTACCTCTCAGGTTAGGGTCGCGGGGACAACGTCCAACCTTGTCTGAACACTCAGCCGAACAGACTAATTCAGACCAGCCTGTTTAAGCATAACCATACTTAAAGCTGCTGCTGCGGTCTCGCTTGTCGGCCGCTGCGGGCTCGGGCAAATTAATAGCCCAGCCAACAGGTCTCCCAGCTAGGCTGCCTTCACATATGAAGGCGTACAGTGTAAAACCTTATACATAGGTATACATTTTATACAGGGACATCGCAGCGTTCTATTTACCTTAACTGAAATTTACGGATTTGTAATGGAATCGTAAAGATATGTAATATGTTTACGTCGTATTTAAGCACACTGAAAGGTGACGGAAAGGCGGAATTTGCCTTTCAGCAGCCTTTACGAAGTCGTAAAGTCTACTGAAATATTTCTCACCTTTAATACTATTATATTGCGGAAAGTTTGCTTAAATGTCTGTTTTCGTGCTGGGAAAGTTTATTGCAAATCCATGCCCAAGGGCTAATTGCAAGAACATGATAAAATAATAAACATTAAGAAATTATAATATATGATGCTACCAATGTTGATATGTTATTGTTGGGTTTGGTTTCTTTTCTGTGTGCAGTGGAGTATGAAATGCCCGACATTTTGTGAGATATATCAGAGTGTTGATAGAAAACAAGGAAAGAAGGGCAAAAAGCTACGTGAATAATTACTAAACCAAGGTGTCCCCTTGAACATACAAATTGGCCGCTTTGAATATACTCTGGTAGTCTTATTTTCGTCCTGTTATCGTCCTATACTAACACTGGTCGTCCTGTTAACGTCCTGTTATTATACATCACAGAATACCGAAGAGTCCAGGACAATATATAATGTTACACAGTAATTTCATACGTTACGACTCAGATATCTGTAATGTTCGCCATATTTGATATCGTAAAATGCAATAGTAAAACTGGAAATGTCAACGTTGGTTTAAACACTTCCGGTTAAGGTCTGAACCACTGAGTGGGGTATGAAACAAATGTCAGACTGGATTAACGGCGTTCTTCATACTTCCTGCAGTCTGATTGGCTGAGATAATAAATTTGATTATGACAAAAAAGGTTAAACGTTCTTTAGAACACAAAGTAAATTGGGACTTACCCAAATTTTTTGGCCGACTCGGTCAGCCTTGTTCACGGAATGGACCCGTCTACTGCAGCTTCCGGGACGTGACGTCGGAAACACGTGATTGCAGCAAAGGGTCGTACGTGTCAGATAACCTGTGTCGCCCCCCGTCTCTGTTCAGTGTTGGGCGTTTGTTCCGAATGTAAAGATGTGATAAATTGGAATGTAAGACAACTCGTAAGGTTTGTCTAGCTGGCCTTTGTTGACGTAAGGTTAGGAAGGCCGTGTTTGTAACCTGGGTACCATCCTGGTTAACGACTAACCACCTAACGGGGGGCTAGAAAAATAAAACGTTGCGATGTTGCCTTCCAACATCTGCTTGAAGATGATAGGTACATGTACAGTTGGTATCATACCCCAGTTCATATGGAGGGGGGGGTCCTATCGGAGGGCTGATTCGCCCTTTTTTTCTCATCTGCACTATTTTGGGATTGACCAAGTTTTCTAATCGCATGAGCTTTCTCTGGCAAATCACTAGCCTCTACCAGGCTTCGGGAAATGTTCTCTCCCAGCAGACAAACTCCCCTGGCATGTTATCTCTCTATTTGCCCGATTTATACTATTTCCAGCCGCCTCCCGAAGCCTGGTAGAGGCTAAGCGCTCACGCGCTCTGGTTCTCATTGCCAAGGCTGAAAGGTTGTCCGTGATGAAGAGGTTAACCGCCTCCAGGACACACAGAACCGTGTCAGCTGGCACCGGGAAAACGTTGCCCTGGCCTTCGGATCTCTGGCCTGGCCCCGTTTTCTGAACCATGCGACAAGGTCAGGGTCGGGTAATAGATCAGCATCAACCGTGGGGGAGCAGACTTAGTTCTCAGGGCAACCCCAGAAATCCATGTCAGGCATTTATTCGCCAATTGTAATCGCTGTAGCTCAAAGGTGTCTAGTAGAGAAGTTATACGCCCTTTGATATCTAAATCAGGAAACCGAACTGTTGTTTTCCGCCACCGCACAGTGTTTTTGGGTTTTTACTAATCTCCAAGTATAAGTAGATCGAATTGGGCCAGGCAGTATCCATTTGCCACCCATTGGGCTGGTACGAGAAGTTCTGAGGACTTTTATATACATTTACAAAAAGATTCCGCCCACTTCATTCAAAACGTATGAATACAAAATAAAAATGTCTAAAAGGTAAATGGGCTTGTACGTAGCTTCTCCAACAGAATGGCCATGCTATCCTTAGTTGAACCGCAAATTGTGATGATGGTCAACATCGGCTAAACTTGAATCGTGTGAACCTTAGGCCACACCAATTTAATTTGTTGCTTCTCGAATCGCCCTGCCTATTTTTTCTGATTTGCAAAATAAAATGGTGGGGGGGGGGTCTAAATTAACTGCAAAATGCTCAATGAAAGACATATTTT